TTTCATAACTATGAAAAAAAGATAAACCTGATAAACATGGAATTAATGTTTCATGTGAATCCAGAGACATTTTCCCAGAATATGGGCATGACACTAAACAAATACTAGGTTCAACTACTACATTAACTGCATATTTAGTTCTACAGGATGAGTCTGGGTTCAGTGCCAAACATTCAAGTCACCTTTATTCAAAGGGCAAACATAATTTTGCAATCGTTAGCTTTCCTGCCTTACACAGTCCAAAGCAGTGTTATATATTCAACTAAAATGACACGATCAAATGACTGCATTTGTTGTATTCAGCATAAACCTGTTAAAACAACAACATTCCAAAACACAAAATCACAGCACACAATCAAAATCATTTTATTTAGACATTTTATTGACACAAATCCTTTATTTGTACAAGTAAACCAAAACAGTTAATAAAGAATTTCTCCAGGTTTGCCTCTGATTAGCCAAACCTTCAAGTAACTTCAAATAAATAATTGTATCAATGTGTCTTCTGTTCGTAAACAGAGCACAGTAACATAGGAAGGGTCGGGAAAAAGAGGGAGAGACAAATGAAACACTGTTTCCTCAGCAGTAGTTCAGTACTCGTGTGTATTCTGCTCTGTTTCTATTGAAGTCCTGCAGTGATCAGGAATGAAGCTGATTTCTGCACAGAGCTGGTGTTGACAGTTGTATTACCATCAACACCACTAATACTGGCTCAATTTCAGCGCAAACAGAACACCATCTACAGGGACGTGAGAGCATGTTTTCAGGAGTGTACATGATGTGTGTGAACATGAGATGACGTGTCTCCTATATATGTTGTATTTGTGCGCATGTTATTTACTAAGATGTCTGCTTACGATCATGACCAACTGAAGGAAACATTTTGAATACTGATATGATGCACAAAAGTCAGAAGTTATGGAAAAAGACACAGAAAACCTAACAGATGTGTACACTGCACCAACTGTTGCAAAAACACTGTCATTGTAGGACTAACAAGCTAAACATTTAATACAGCACACAAGATAAAACAGCTGAAAAATAAATGGAACAAGGTGGAGTCAAAACAGTGGGTGGGGTTTAAAGTCTGGGAGGGGCCACTGATTGTGTGGAGTCAATACTGTGGGAGGAGTTTACACTCTGGGCGTGGTAAATAAATATAGTTGGTAGAAAGGTTGTTTTAAGGGAGTGATTTGAAGTTTGGGAGGGGCTAATGTTATTCAGGAGTCAGAGCGGAAGGAGGAGCTTACATTGTGGGTGGAACTTAAATTGTTGGCATGGAGGTTGTTTTAGGGGAGGAGTTTGGAGTTTGGGAGGGGCCACAACTTGTATGAGTCAATATTGTGGGAGGAGTCTACACTCTAGGAGTGGTCAATATAGTTGGTAGATATGTTAGGCTTGTTCGACTTCATGCAGTGCCTCAAAGATCGAAATCAAAAGCAATGCATTCTAGTTTTGTTCAACTTTGATTGGTGCTGCAGTCGCCTTACAATAACATGTGCCATCAAAGTACTGCGAGAGCAAAACAAGACCAGCCGCCTTGGTCAGGTGCTGCAGTTGCTCAAAATCGGCTGCGAAAGCCTTGATGATGACACACTTTATTCTCATTGGTCAGATTCTGTGATGACAAGGACGATGTGTGTTTCGGGTTTATTCTAACTATTCAATTCCAATAATGCTCACAAATCTGTGTTTTAACAGTAAAAGCTTTTTTACTTTAGTCGCACTGTTATATTGGGTCACATTTATCAAAAAACACTGATAAAAGCATATTTACCCCTACTTTATTGGTATTTAAATAGTATATGTTTATGTTGAACTTTATTCATGAACAGATGGCGCTGTATTAAGCAGTATATAAAAAGTGTTTCTGTTGCTCATGAAAACGTTTCTAAAAACGTCTGTGTATTTGACAAATATTGCATTTAATTCACTTCATCTGTGATAGCATGCAAACACCACGCGAGCGTAACTACCAGGAGCAGAAAATGTCCGACTTGACGTCTCAGCTTTCGAGAAGGGTCTGGCTGCAGCCTCGCACTTGCACTCTCAGACTTGCTTTCTCAGACTTGCATTCTCAGACACTTGCGCTTCCGCTAGCGACGTCACTTGCAGGCTTTATTTTTTATTTTGTTCTATTTTTTATTACTTTTTGTTTGAATCTCTCAACATTTTACAACAGTAGCCAGGTGGTGAAGACAAGAAAAAAGAAACGAAATTACAATGTCACTTGCAATCGCCACTTGCACTCTCCGCTACCTGCGACGTCACTTGCAATCGACACAAATCGTGCGTGTTGCCAATGGAGACAAGAAGCTGTGGTGATTAAACGATTAAAACTAATTTAGTACTATAACATACTTTTTCTTGTAGGACCCTGTACGTTATAGTAGACTAAATTAGTTTTAATTGTTTAATCACCACCACAGCGTCTTGTCTCCATTGGCAACACGCACGATTTGTGTCGATTGCAAGTGACGTTGCAGGTAGCGGAGAGTGCAAGTGGCGATTGCAAGTGACATTGTAATTTAGTTTCTTTTTTCTTGTCTTCACTACCTGGCTACTGTTATAAAATGTTGAGCGATTCAAACAAAAAGTAATCAATAAATAGAACAAAATAAAAAAATAAAAGACTGCAAGTGACGTCGCTAGCGGAAGCGCAAGTGTCTGAGAATGCAAGTCTGAAAATGCAAGTGCAAGGCTGCAGCCAGACCCTCTTGCAGCTTTCAATTCCGCCCCCGACTGCAAGCGGCAGATCTCACCAGCCGGTGGCAGGCTAGTGCAGTTCATCTCGAACAAGCCTGTTGTTTTAGGGGAGGGGTTTTAAAGTGTGGGAGGGGCTATTGTGGTTCAGGAGGAGTCTGTACTGGGGGAGGAGTTTACAATATGGGTGTGGCCAAATTAGTTGAAAGGGAGGTTGTTTAGGGGAGGGGTTTAAAGTTTGGGAGGAGCCAATGTGAAGAAGGTGTGTTCAATGTGAAGCGCTGCTGTACAGACCAATTGGTGAATGACATCAAAGTGCCATGAAAGTGATTTGAAAGCATATGTAGCGGTCTGCACTCTATAGCTCTCGTGGTACTTTGATGTCGTACACCGATCTATCTGTCAAACACATCTGAAGTCAGTACTGTGGGAGGAATTTACAGTCTGGGTGTAGAAAAAAATGGTTGGTATGGAGGTTTTTTAGG